GAGGAGCAGGAGGAGGAGGAGGAGGAGGAGGAGGAGGAGGAGGAGGAGGAGAGGAGGAGGAGGAGGAGGAGGAGGAGCAGGAGGAGGAGGAGGAGGAGGAGGAGGAGGAGGAGGGAGGAGGAGGGAGGAGGAGGAGGAGGGCAGGAGGAGGAGGGAGGAGGAGGAGGAGGAGGAGGAGGAGGAGGAGGAGGAGGAGGGAGGAGGAGGAGGAGGAGGATGCGGCGCCTGTGTGCGCTGGCACTGCGCGGGTGCAAGGGTGGCCCGAGCGCGGGTCCCAGCGCCCCCGAGGGGAAGCTGAGGCCCACCTCGGCGCGCCACCCCTCTTTGAGTGGGGGCCCGCCCCCTGCCGATCCCACCCGAGGTCCGTGAGGACGTTGGTAAGAGTGTGGTGCTCCCAGGTGCGTCGCGGCTGTCGTGGCGGACACAACGATGTGGGTGGGGTGGGGTGGGGTGGGGTGGGGGGCGAGCGGGTGTGGCACAAGGGCGCTGTGGACAGAACGAGGTGGCAGCCGTGCGTGCGATGGAGGAGGAGGGAACATTCAAAAGGTGGGGAAACGTGAAGGGATACCCATCGGTCGGAAGAAGCAGGTAGAAACATGAAGTAGGAAAGCGTTGAACGTAAATTGGGTTCCGTCCGCCCCCATTGGGAGGGCGGGAAAGGTGAAGCCACTCGATCATTGAACCAGGAAGGCGCCTAAAGTAGACTGGAATCCGGGAATCCCGAAATGCCTACTTTCAACGACCGAGTGGTAAGGGAGGTGGAGGTGGCCCGAGCGGGGCTCTCACCCCCCGAGGAGGGGGAGTGAGAGCCCCCTCGGCTTGGTTCTTACGTCTGGCCTGGCCGCATGGGGGGGGGGCCCCAACGGCGGCTCGTGCCGCGCGCGGCCCCTCCGGTGCTGCTCCCCTCCTCCAAGGCTCGTCGTGGTGCTGCTCTCGCCCACCTCCGCCCCCGGTCCCGAGGGTGGCTGCTTGCTGCGGTGGAGGGTTGGCAGGCAAGCAGCGGGGCGAAGGGGCTGGAAGGAGAAGGGGTGAGCGACGGGTAGGTTAGTGCGTTTGGAAGGTACTTCAGGGGAGGTATATAGGAGAGGGACTGGCCATCGTCCACGGAACACGTGGTGTAGAAGGAGGGCAGCGAGTACGCGTAATACAAGAGGTTGCGGCTGTGTATGGCGGCGTAAAGAATCGAAGGCTCCGGCTGGACGGCCCCTGGAGAGCAATGAACTGCGGGATTTGGAGCGCGCTGCTCTCATTGGGGGGGTGTTGGGGTTGCCGCTGCCGCTGCTGTGCCGCGTTGTTGCTGGTGCTGCTGCTGCTGCCCTGGTAGCGGTGGGTGCGTAATCAAGGCGTGGTGTGGGAAAGCGACGTGTGACAAAGGCAGGAGCCAGCCGAGTAGTGGGTGTGCCGTCGTGGAGCTGCACTGGAGGAGGCATGGGAACTCTGCGCTCCGCGAGGGCGCCTGCGGCGTGAGAGGTCTGACGTCGGGAGGCGGCACGGACGCCGTGGCTCCTCGCGGCGAGGGTGGCCCGTGCCACGGGCCCTGCAGGCAGTCTCAGGGCAGGGGCTCGCAGTTGCCAAGCTGTGGAGGGGGTCGTTGCCGCGGCTTCCGCCGTTCCCTGCGCTCCGTCGCCGCCTCTTCCTGGATGGGAGTGCGGAGGGCGAAGGGCAGCGTCGGTGGGTCGAGCCGAGTCGGCAGGACCATAGGGAGCTGGTCGTTGGTGCCGTCGCTGGACCCCGTGTCCGCAGCCGGCGTTCTGCGTGCCTCGTGCCTGGCTGGTCCGACGGTGTGTGGTTCTCCCGCGGTCTGTGGCGCGACACGCGACGTCGTGCACTGCCCTGCGGTATTCGTTGCGGCTCTCCGTGCCCATTGTGAGGTGGAGGCTCGCGATGGTGTCCGTGATGCTGGCGTCACGTCGGGCCTGTCCCCCTACAGTTTTTTATTTCTTACGAAAAATAAGAAATGCTCAAACCATGCTCCCAAATGGACAAGAAGTGCTCAAACAAGAGTCCCCCGGCTATTTTTTGGTACTATTTTTGGACATCCCCCCCTGTCGAGGGGCAGGCCCGACTGAAATGCTGGCGATGGTGCGCTTCGTGCTCGATCCTGCGCCCTGGGTCGCCCTCGGCGTGGCGGCACGGCGAGTCGGGGTCCTCGCCGTGCTCGGGTGCCTGGCACGCGGCGTCGCTCGCGCTCCGCTCGCCCCGTGCCCGGCGGCCCGCGGGCGTCCGTTCCCTCGGGCTGGGTGGCGGCTGGATCCGGGCGGTGCGGCTGTGAACGCCCTCGTGGCTGGCGGGGCGCGTGCCCTCGTGCTCGTCCCCATGGGGTCCAGTCCTTGCAGGCCCTGCGGACCTGGTTGACGTCGCCGTGCGGGTGGCCCAGAGCCGTCCCGAAAGAGATCGTGACGGGGAGGTGCCCTTCCTGAGTCTCAGCTTGTGCCTCCTCTTGGGTGGGTTGGCTTGCGCTTCCCTGGTCGTAGGTCGGATCGAGCCAGTTCTGACTGATGGTGTCCGTCTGCCCTGTGTCTCTCTGCTTGCCGTCAACTTTGCCTGGTCCAAAGGTAGTGCTTTGGTGGGGCTGGTCGCTGTCAGCACGCGTTGGTGGCCCTCCTCCTCCTCCTCGTCCTCTACCTCCCCCTCTTCCTCCCCTTCCTTCCCCCTCCTCCTCCCCTTCCTTCCCCCCTCTCCTTCTCGTCGTCCCCTTCCTTCCCCCCTTCTCCTTCTCGTCGTCGTCCTCTTCGTCCCCCCTCTCCTTCTCGTCGTCGCCCCTCCTCGCCATCGCCCTCGCCCTCCCCGGCTCCTCGCGCCCCCCTGCCTCGGCGGGCCGCGGGCCTGCGCGGCAGAGGGCGCCGCAGACCCCGCCGCTGAGACGAAGCCAAGGCACGGACAAACTCGGACGGGGACACTTCCGGGAGAGCCCAGCACCGCATCGACAGGTCGGGTCGGCGATCGACGTGCGTCGGATGGGCGGAAGAACCGGCAGCCGAGTCGGGCGGACAGATCGGCAGGCTGATCAGGCCTCCGTTGAGAACTCGGCCACATCGGAGTCCGACGTCGACACCGAATCAGCATCGGAAACCATCGAAATCGAATCGAATCGGAATCGGAAGCCATCGACATCGAATCGAATCGAATCGGATCGGAAGGCTTGCACCGAGCCCTGCAGCTCAGGGGCCTCTGCGCTCCGGCGGCTAGTCGGTGCCCAGCATCGAGCTCCACCCAAGAGGCACCCGAGAGCGCTCGTCGTCGTCGTCGTCGTCGTCGTCGTCGTCGTCGTGGTCGTCGCCCTTACGGGTCGGCGGCACTCACTGGCCGTAAGGCCTTCGCAATGGTGTCCAACATCGATCTCCCAAGAGCACGCTGTCCCCACCAGGGGACCCCCCCCACCCCCCGCGAGAGCCCCGTCAGGTGGGCGCTGCCCCCTCGCCAGGGCCTCTTCGGTGCACGCTAGATGTACCCCCGAGGCGGAGCAACGGTGTGTCATGAGCGCACCGTCGGCGCCGCACGGCCATGGGCCCCCCCGCCTCTGGGACGAAGCCTGGGCATGGACAACATCGCACGGATCTTCGGCGGCCGGGGCACTCCCACTGCTTCGCTTTCAATTATGCTGCCCCCATCGTACTTCGGGACCACGTCCCAGAAACAATCTGGAGCACCCAGACAAGCATCGGAACAGCGCCGCACGAGCATGGCCCCCTAGGGCCCGACCCTTGAAGCCCCTCCAGTCTCGGCACCTTCTTGGCGCCCGAACTTTTCTCTGGTGGCCAGGGCCAGAGTAGATTGGAGCGTCGTACAGGCTCCAGCTTCTCTCGTGTGCGGCGCCGGCCCTGCGCAGTGGAGCGGCGCAACCAGGCAGCGCGTGCCCTCCTGCCCCCTCCCCATCGCTGCTCCCGCGCGTGCGTGCTGGCAGCAGGGAGGGCCACAACCGCTTTGCGATTCGGGCCGGCCAGGAGAGGCGCCGAGGTCGCCGGAAGCTCACCCGGAGCGCCTGAGGAACGGGCCATGCTCCTCACGGGCTTGAGATCGTCGTGCGTTGTACTTTGTGGGGCCTCTGAGGTCCGGCGGCTCTGGAGGATGTATCGGGCGCCGCGGCCGTTCCAGAGCGCTCCAGAACGCCCTGAGAGCGTTGGGGAATGCTGTGGAACGAGTTCTCCCAGCCATCCCAGTCCTAGCCCCGCCCGACCACCTCCTCCACGCGCAGCTCGCACAGCTCCCCTCTCGACGCCAGCAGCGCCCTGCCCAGGCCGGCCACAGCTCTCGGCTACACGCGGGAGTGCTCCCGGGCAAGAGGCAAGAGAGACCTCTGGCGCGCGGCTTCGCGTGGGCGCGGGGGGGCCTACACCCAGGCGCGCAAGCCGCTACTGTCGCATCGCTCTCGGCGATCGCGGGGCCTCAGCGGGCCCGCTCCCAAGGCCACTCGAGCGGAGGGACGCTCTCACGTGTGGTCGAAGCTGGGGGGAACTGTGCTCCTTCCCCCCCGTCCCCGGGGAGCCGGTCGTGTCGGCGAGCTCCTGAGGAGGGGCGTCGAACCCAAAGACCCGGCGTCGTGGTTTTTCAAGGCGGGGCTCCCAGAAGTCTCGACCCCTTCCCCAGCACCGGTTTTTCATCCTGAGCCGTTTTGTGGACGGTCTGGGGGTCTGGCGAGGGCCTCTGGAAGCCGAGGACGGCGAAGAACACCTTCGTCCTGACTCTTTCAATACTTACGCTGGATCTCTGGGAAGCCGATGGACCCCCCCAGGAGAAGAGCAGCCTGCAAAGGCATGACCTCTCGGAGGTCCGCGCGGAGCGCAGGGTGATGGGCCTGTTTTCCACCACCACCACCATAAGTTGGAGGGGGGAAAGAGGTGGAGGACGAGGAGGAGGAGGAGGCGGAGGAGGAGGAGGAGGAGGAGGAGGAGGAGGAGGACGAAGAGGAAGAGGAGGAGCAGGAGGTAGAGGAGGAGGTCGAGGAGGAGGAGGAGGAGGACCCCCTCGCCCTCCAAGTTATGGTGGTGGTGGTGGTGGTGGAAAGCAGGGCGTTCGACCCCCCTCTCCCGGGCGCGTGTTCAGTGCGCCAAGGGGGCGGCGCCGCCAAGTGGGAGGCGCCAGGGGGGCCCTCTCGCGGAGCGCAGATATTTGAGCAACCTGCGCGGCCCCCTGACAAGATCATGCCTACTGCAGTAGGGGGCCACATGCGAACCCTGCCCCTACCCCCCCACGTCTTCTGAGCGGAAGGGTGGGGTTCACTTTGCTCGGGAGCTCCTTTGCTCGGGAGCTCCCGAGCGAAGTGAACCCCACCCTCCCACTCAGAAGTCGTGGGGGGTAGGGGCAGGGTTCGCGTGTGGCCCCCTCAGGCTCGTGTCGTGACGGCTTCGGCACTAGTCTCTGATAGGGCTCGACATAAACAATGTTTTCCGTATTCGCTCCGTCTTCGTTGTCCCTCGCTTTGTCTTCAGTCCGCCTCTGTGCCGCCAAACGAAGTCGGAACGAAAACGGCCCACGACGTCGCCAGACAACCGTTTTTGTCCACCCCTGGTCTCTGAGAGCGCGCGTGGATCATCCCAGCTTGCACGAGCGGCTCTTTCCGATGGCGCAGATCGTTAGGTGTCGGCCAATTCGCGCCGACACCGGCGGCGTTCAGCCTTATACGGTCGCTGCGTCGACACGATACGAACCTACCTTCTGCAACTTTCGGCGACTTCGAAAAATGTGGTGTGCAAAATGTGCGGTTTGCAATCCGCGCCCGGGGGACGGGCGAGGACCTCGACGGAGGTCTCCGCCGCACCCAGACGAGGGCAACGTGGTGCCTCTCGAGTCCCAATGGCGCAGATCGCAAACCAAACCGGGCGTAACCACACTCGTTGTATGGAGGCCTCTCAGATGGGATCCGAGTGCATTGGGGCATACATCGGCGACGCCGGCGTGGACAAAATCGGGCTCCACATCGAGCCGCATCGCCGATGCATCGGCGATGCGGCGCGATCCTCCGCCCTCATCTACTCCGACTCAATATGGGAGGCCTAGTCCATCGTAATCGCCGAGATCTGCTCTTCGCCGAGATTAGCTCCTCTTCGAGGTGGCCCCCCAGGGGTGCAGAGGCACAGCTCCCCCAATGGAGCGACGGAACGAAAAACGGGTCCTGCGCGAGATGACATGGCGATATCTGGCGACCTCACGCGGCGGCGTAGTAAGCGGGCCGCCGGCGCGGCGCGCCACGCTGGAAACGAGGGCAGCCTGCGCGCGACCCTCTCTGCGCGGGCAGCTTGCGCGCCAGCGTCCGCGCCAGTGGAGCCCGTTGTTCTGCGCGCGCCGCTCCGTTGCCGAGCCCGCCTGCCTCCCCCGCTCCGGCCCCAGGCGCCCGGGCGGCTCCGGCGACCCGGACCGGGGGGACTCCAGCAGCAGGGACGGCCGGGGGGAGGGCCGGCCGAAGAGGCTGACGCCACGGGGAGCCGAGAGGGCCACACCCGAGCGCCGCCCCGGAGGGTCGGAGGGGCCCCTGCCCTGAGATCGGGCGTTGTCGCACAGCTTCGGGCCGCGGGACCTTCACGCATCGATCCGGCTCGAAGCATGCTGCAGAACGATGGGGTCCGGGGGCTCTGGAGCATGCTTTTCGCGATGCTGCACGCTTTTCGCGTCGTCGGATCGAAAGGGGGTATCCCAGCAACGCTGCGACAGCAAGAAATGATGATTGTGGCGCATTTTTGGCCGTCTAAGGCCTCTGGGGGCCCTTTCCAGGGAGGAGGAGGAGGAGGAGGAGGAGGAGGAGGAGGAGGGAGGAGGAGGGAGGAGGAGGAAGGGGGAGGGAGGAGGAGGGCCAACGACGGCTCAGGATGAGAGACCTGTCCCTGGGGAAGTGGTCTAAACTTCTGGAGGTCCACGCCGTGAGCAGGCCGCGGCGTCGGAGGCCTCAGGAGGGGGCGAGAGATATATACAGAGAGAGAGAGAGGGAGGGAGGGGCCAGCGGGCCAGCCAGGACACGCGCGCGCGACGCGGAGGTATGCGACGTCCTGGCTTTCTCAAGGCGGGCCCCCCTGGAGGTTCCGACCCCTCCCCCAGGGCCGGTTATTTTTCCCGGGCCGTTGTTTGTCGGCCCCGGGGCCTGGCGAGGGGCCCCCCCCTATGGACCGAAAACAAACAGAAGCCGCTCGCCGTTTAGTTGCTTTCTTTGCTGCTGTTGCTGGTGGTTGTTGTTGCTGAACTCTCATTACTGAAGATAACTATTGTTGATCCCCCCTCCGGTAGCAGATGTGTTTTCTCAACTGAAGTACCCCTCCCGGGCTCGCATCCTGTTTTGTACCGGAGAAACTCTGTTTGCTCAAACTGTGCCCCTTGCCCCTGGTTTACAACAACAACAACAGCAACAGCAACAACAACAGCAACAGCAACAGCAACAGCAACGACAACAACAACAACAGCAACAACAACAACAACAACAACAACAACAACAACAACAACAACAATAACAACAACAATCACTTTACCCGAACGCACAGTGTTCTCACCAGTGCCAGGGTTTTCATGCGACGCCAGCCAATACCCCCACTTTGTGGGGGGCAGTGCAAGCTCTACCAAATATCCACACGACTCTTCGCCACCACCCACACCCAGCTTCCCGCCCTATGACGTTCGGACACTTCACTTCGTGGCCTGCGGACGACCGTGGCTACTACACTGGCGTGGAGTACACACCCACAGAAGTTGTTAAGCCTACGTTCGTACACCCACAGAAGTTGTTAAGCCTTGTTAACCCACAGAAGTTGTTAAGCCTTCCACAGAACATCTGTTGCATATGATGCATATGGTACATGATACACATGATACACATGATACGTACTCACAAGATAGTTGATCACATCTTTAGGGCAAATTCCTGAGGGATGTGGGAATACACAAGAGAGAGAGGATATGGTTGTCCCGATGGTTGTCTCGATGGTTGTCCCGATGGTTGTCCTGATGGTTGTGGTTGTCCCGATCGTTGTCCCGATGATTGTCCCGATGGTTGTCCTGATGGTTGTGCTTGTCCCGATCGTTGTCCCGATGACTGTCCCGATGATTGTCCCGATGGTTGTCCCGATGGTTGTTCCGATGGTTGTCCCGATGGTTGTCCCGATGGTTGTGAGCGATGCCGGATCCCTACGGTGCGATTCGTGTGATTTTATGATGCGCGGTGCTAAAAGTCTTAAGAACCCAATGGTTTTTGGAGATTTCGGCGTGCGCGCGCGAAGAAAAAACGAATGTGTCCCGCATGGTATTATTTGACAGGGATGATGGCCCTGGCAGGTGCGCAACCGTTGTCGCAGAAGTTCGAAAAAGTTGCTCGCAAAAGCCCGTTTGACAGAAATGTTTAAAAAGTGTTGGTTTTCCTACGAATCCGCAAGAGCGCGCGGGATGAGATTTTGACATTTTTTTGTTGAAAAACCATTGGTTTTTTGATGTTTTTATGTTAAAATCGCTCCGAACACTAAGCTTTTGGAAGGATTTCGTCTTGCGCGCGCGAATGTCCACTTTACCTTATTTTTGCAAGGGATTCTTGAAATTTGATTATATTAGAACAAGAAATGTCATTTTATAGTGTTTTTTGCAAGGGAAAACGGATTACAACAAAACAACCGGATCTTGATCACCTCGAATTACCTGAGGCTTCCTCACGAAAATGATGAAAACGTGGCTGCGGCCTAGGCGCGGCGGGGGGGGCGCGCACCAGGGGGCCCAACAATAATTATTCTTTAGAATTAATAATGTTCAACACCAACACCAACACCAACACCAACACCAACACCAACACCAACACCAACAACACCACCACCACCAACAACAACAACAGCGGCTCCCGCCTGATATTTTCTACTTTCTTGCAATTTCCGAAGAATCGCGCTCTCACCTAACACGTCATCGCAATTTATTCAGGCGTCGCGCTTTCGACAATCAGGAATCGCGCTGTCGCTTGGAACTTCCTCGCAATTAATTCAGGCGCCGCGCCCTCGACACTCAGGAATCACGCTCACGCTGTGGATTTCCTCACGAGATTTATTTCGGAATCGCGCTGTCGCTCAAGGCTTCCTCGCGATTCATGCAGGACGCACGCTTCAGCAATCCGCCTGCTCGACCTGGCCGCCTGGGCCCGCCTGATATGCCCGTCTGGTTCTGCCAAGTGTTTTCTGCTCCTTGCCCCCTCCTGCTACTCTCTCTCGTGCTCCATCCTCCTCTCTCCCCCGTGTCCCTTTCTTCTATCCGTACTCTCTTCCCCTGCCTGAGGAGCTGCCCGAAATGCACGTTGCAGGTACAGTGCGGGTGCGGCCGCAAGAAAACCTCGCAAGAAACCCAACCCTGAGAACCCGTGCACGAGGTGCATCTGAGGGGAAACCCGGAGCACCCTGAACGCAGCAGCTCCTTCAACGGCTGCGGAAAGTCACCGCGCAGCGCGCGGAGCGAAGAAACCCAGGGTACCCTGACGAAAAGCAAATTGGCTTCTTGAGGTGCGCCCCCACTGTAAGAAATAAATACCCCCGAGGGATACGGTCGAAGACGAAGACGGTGGGTATCGAGGGTTTGGCAAACACGTGTTGAATGGCACGCGAGTGGGTCAGAGCGAACAATCTTAAACTGATCATTGTTGTTGGTGGTTGTGGTGGTGGTGTTGTGTCTTCTTGTTGCTCCCAACCATCTTGTGGTTTTGGGTTCTGGTTTTGAAAAGACAGCGCCCGCGTCTCCTTCCTTCCTCCAGCTGCTCCCTCCTCCCCATCCTCCCATCCCTGCCTCTGCCCCCTGGATCCGTCAGCAATTTCGGTACACCCCGAGGCCCCATAGGGAGCTCCGCCGCAGGCCCAAGTAACTGCGCTCGCATGGCACCACCGCGCCCATGTCGGCACACCCCTCACACATGTTTCGCGGCCACATATGGGAGCCCCACCGAAAGCCCAAATTGCTGCGCTCGCATGGCACCACCGCGCCCCATGCCGCCACACCCCTCGCACGCTTCGTGGCCTCATACGAAGCTCCACCAAAAGACCCAGTGGCTGCGCTCGCATGTCACCACCGCGCCCATTTCGGCACACCCCTCACACGCTTCGTGGCCGCGTAGGGAGCTCCACCGAAGGTCCCAGAGGCTGCGCTCGCATGGCGTCACCTCACCCACCCATTTCGGCACAGTTCGTGGCCCCAGAAGGAGCTCCGACGATGGCCCCAGTGCTGCGCTTGCATGGCACCACCGCGCCCATTTCGGCGCACTCCTCTCACGCTTTGTGGCCACATGGGGAGCTAGCTCCACCGTTGGCCCCAATGGCTGCGCTCGCATGGCATCACCGCACCCATTTCGGCGCACTCCTCACGTTTCGTGGCTTCATGGAAAGCTCCACCGAGGGCCCCTATGGCTGCGCCCGCATGGCGCCACCGCGCCAATTCGGCGCACTCCTCACACGCTTCGTGGCCCCAAAAGGAGCTCCACCAAAAGACCCCATGGCTGCGCTCGCATGTCACCACTGGGCCCATATCGGCACACCCCTCACACGCTTTGTGGCCACATCGGGAACTCCACCGATGGCCCCAATGGCTGCGCTCGAATGGCACCACCGCGCCCAGCCATTTCGGCACAGCTTCGTGGCCCCAAAAGGAGTTCTGCCGAGGGCCCCAGCACCGCACCCATTTCGGCGCACTCCTCACGTTTCGTCGCCCCATGGGGAGCTCCACCGATGGCCCCAGTGGCTGCGCCCGCATGGCGCCACTGCACCCAATTCCGCCACACCCCTCACACTTTCCGTGGCCTCGTAGGGAGCTCCACCAAAGGCCGCAGATGCTGCCCTCGCATGGCACTGCCGCGTCCATTTCGGCGCCCCCTTCACACATTTCGTGGTCCAATAAGGAGTTCCACCGATGGCCCCAGTGGCTGCACTCGCATGGCACCACCGCGCCCATGCCGGCGCACCCCTCATGCGTCTCGTGGCCACATGGGGACCACCACCGAAGGCCACAGAGGCTGCGCTCGCATGGTGCCAGTGTACCAATTTCGGGACGCCCTTCACACGCTTCGTGGCCACATGGGCAGATCCACCGAGGGCCTCAATGTCTGTGCTCGCATGGCACCACCGCATTCGTTTCGGCGCACTCCTCTCGCGTTTCGTGGCCTCAGAAGGAGCTCCACCGAAACCGGTGCCCACAACGCGGTACTCACAACTGCATATGGTTGGGCCCTGCGCCAGGATCACTTTTGTCTTTGGTGTTTCTGCTACTGTTCTTTTTCAACTTTGTGCTTGTCTCTAGACGCTAGCACGTCAGAGGAACACCGGCCCTGCGGGCGTCCGCGGGCGGCAGCTCCGCCGGGCGCTGGGCCCCCCCTACAACACGCCCTTCGGGCGGTGGCCGTTTGCGCGCCACGGGCGGGTTGAGGGGGCAGCCTAACCCCTGGCGGAGGGGGCGTCCGCAGACGTCCGGAAGCTCTGGTGGTCCCTCGGTGCTTGCCAGCGCGGGCCCCTAAGCAGTGGGTCCTTGCACCCTCGATGTGGAGCCGCTGTGGCGCCATACATGTGTCGCATCCTTGGTGGTTCCTTCGTGGTGCCATCTGTGGTGCGTTGTGTGTGTGTGTGTCCAGGTCTACATGTATATGTATACATCTCTGTGTATACATGTAGTGTGTGTATGAATACATGTATGTGTATAACTCTCTCTCTCTCTCTGTACATATGTGTGTGCGTATGGAGTATGTATAACATATGTGGCGCACTCTATGTCTTGCGGACACGGGGCGCCCACGGGGCGCCGACGGGCGGCCGCGGGGCGACAACCCGGACGCCCTAATGGACGGGGGCGCCCGCGCGGCGCGCCTGGGCGGGCACCCGGCGAGCACCCGGAAACGCCAGCCAAGGCACGGGGCACCGCTCTCGGGCCGGGCCAAAGGGGGGGACGGCACAAAAGGGGTTTGAGAGTCAGCTCACGTAGCTGATTTTCCCGGCGCCTCCCGGCGCCAGGAGGCGCCCATGTATCGAGGAGTAGGCCCAGCGACGGGGCCGAAACCAGCTGCATGCAGCAGATTTCGGCCCGGCGCTCATGAGGCGGGGCGAAAACCAGGAACACCACGCCACTTCATTACCAGCAAAGGAGATGAAGAGCCCCCAGTGCACGCTCTGCTTGGGGAAAAACATGGGAGGGGAGCAGCGGGAAGGGGGCTGGAGTGGAGGAGGGCGGATGGGGTATAGGTGCAGCCGTCCTGCTCCCCCTATGAGTGAGCTGCGCCTCCTGGAGTCGTTACTGTTCCAGCTCGCCGACCTGATCACCGGAGGCATGCTCTGGACCGGCGACCGCGGCGGGGTCCTGCTCCCCGCCGGCCCGTCCTCCGCCCGGGGGGGCAGGTAGGCCCCCCCGAAGCCGTCGCTCGGCGGCAGCTCCTCGAAGCAGCCCCGCAGCCCTGCGGGCCCGTCCCCGAACCACGCCGCGAGCTCCGCCAGCGGCAGCTGCCGCTCCGGCTGCACCACCCGCACGAGCTGGCCGAGGCCCTGCGTGCTCGGCAGCGACCCGCCCCGCAGCTCGGCGCCCGCGTGCGCGCTGCCCGGGCTCCGCGCGTCCATCGCGCCCCCCGGGGTGCCCGGGCCGCCCGGGGTGATCCTCCCCGTCGGCGTGCTGCCGCCGCTGCTCCGGCTTTGCCGCCGGGAAGACATCGCCGACTCGGTCACCACCTGGAGCACCTGGCGGAGCAGCCGCCACCGCGGCGCTGTATAGGCTGGATCGGACCGGAGCGTGCCTCGGACCGGACAGCGTCGGCGCGGAGCTAAGCAGTCGACCTGGGTCGGGGCGCCCGGGTGTTCACGACAGCGCCGTACAAGCGCTGGGGCCGCGCCAGGCCGCCGAAAGGTCGGAATCGAATCGGATCGAGCTGGCCGGGATCGAAGTCGGACCGGATCGATCGGATCGGAGTTGGCCCCGACCTGCGCCACCATGGCGAACTCCCACGGCGGCTGCCCCCAGGGCGCACCGGCCTCCGCCAAGTCGGCCCCGCCTTCCAGCGGCGGCGGCGGCGGCGGGGCATCGGCGGCGCCCGCCAGCACTGCCCGCGCCGCTTGTGACTGGAAGTAGCTGCACAGGTACTCCGCCTCCTGCCTCGCGACCGCCATGGCCGTCGCCCCCTGCGAGCACTGGCGGCGGGACAGGCGGAGCACCAGCGCCGCCAGGCACACGTGGAAGAGCTTCCGCAGCAAGCTCTCGAACTGGGCGGCCTCCAGCATGCCGCGCAGGCCCTGCAAGGGGCCGTCGAGGTGGTCCTGCAGGGACTTCAGCCCGTGGGCGGCCGTCTCGGACAGGGCCCGCCGCCTCCACTCGAGAGAGGCGACGTCGCAGGCCGCCCAGAGCAGCGTGCCCTCCAGCTCTGCGAAGCGCTCCGCCTCGGGCCCAAGGCTCCACTCGAGCGGCAGCGCCGTGCGCCCGAGCTCGTCCCTGTCGTCGGCGCATGGCTGGCGGCTCATCCCCGAGGAGGAGCTCTCCGCGTCAGACAGCCTGGCACTCCACTGCGTGCACTGCTCCTGAAAGCCCGGTATGTCTCTCGTCAGCGCCGCCACGCGCTCAAGCCACGCCCACACGCCTGGCGGCAGCGGCTTTGCGCGCTCCCTGGAGCCGGCGGCAGGCCCACGCCCGCCCAGCACGTCCTCGGCGATCTGCTGGTGCGTCTCCAGCAGCCAGCGGTAGAGGGCCCCCTGGACCTCGAAGATGACGAATCTGGCCACGCGCCTCGAGCTCAGCAGAAGCTCGACAGGCTCCTTAGAAGAAGAAACAAAGCCATAGACAGAAACGTCTGGCGCTCCGCGCGGAGCGCCGATAGTTTATGACTATGTCGTTTCTTCTTCTTCTTCGGCTCCTTGTCCTCGGCCTCTGGGAAGCACGAGCATACGAGCGCGAACAGGTCTACAGGCAGCGTGCTCGCAGCCGGCACGGTGAAGGACGCGCCCGAGGACGCCCCGAGCAGCTGCGCCTGGCGCGGCCTGGCGGCAACCCCCAGCTCCTTGCCGAGCAGGCTCGCCGACATGCGCCGCAGGTGCTCTCCCGTTCGGAGGCTCAGCTCCGCCGACAGCCCCGCGATCGCCGCGTTCAGCGCAGGGTACACCACGCCCATGCGGTGCGCCGCCGCCCGCCGCGCGTCCAGCCACCGCAGCAGCGTGCGGCCGTCGTTCTGAGACAGCTCGCCGCTCCAGCGCGCCCACGCGCGCCCGGCGCACGCGCCAGACGGCCCGAGCGCGGCCTCCAGCACCGCCTCGCAGGCGTCCCGGTGCCAGGGCCTCTGCTGCAGGGCCCCGTCGAGGAGATCCCTGGCGTCGCTCCACGCCTCTCCATGGGGCCCCAGGACACACGAATAAATATACACACGCAAATAAAAAGAATCCCCACATTTTCCCATGTCTTCTGGGTTTTTGTCTTCCCCCCCCACTTCCCATATTTTCCCATACTTTCTGGGAATCGACGATTAATTGTGTCTGTGTTTCTTTTTTCCCTCCTGAGCCTCGTCGCAGGCGCGGATCACCATCCGGAGCCCGGCGGGGGCGCTGGCGCTGGCGGCGCTCTGCTCCGCCTCGGTGAGCCGCCGCAGGGCGCCGCGCCGCCACGCCTCGGGGTCGGCGTCGTACTCCGCCAGGGCCTCCTCGTGCGTGCGCCGGCGGCCCGCCTCCTGTGCCTTGGCCGCCGAGCACGCGATGCGGATGGCCCTCTGCCACTCCTCGCAGCTGTCGCGGGAGTTGAAGATCAGCGTCCACCCGTTGCGCTCCTGCAGCGAGGCGCCCGCGCTCTGGCAGCCCGCGCTGCACGCGGGCGCCCCAGCTGCGTCCGCGACCTCCTCGTCGCAGTCGTCCTCCGACACGCGCAGTCTCCAGCCGCTGCCGTCCGCGCACTCCTCGACGGCTCCCGCGCTGCACCGGAGCAGCGGCAGGCTGGCGATGGCCCCCGAGGTGTCCAGGCGGTGCGAGAACGCGTGCAGGGCCTCGAACTCGACCAGGCGGGCGGCCTCCGGCGCAGCGCCCGCGCCGGCTCCCGCGCTGGGCCTCTCCGTGGAGGCCTGCGGGGCTGCCGGGGAACAGGCCCACCCGCTCCACTTCTTCTTCGCGCTCAGGGCGCGGCCGCTGAGCAGCAGGACCTGGCCCACGGTCGTCACGGGCACGGCGCCCCGCTTCCTGGACAGCCGCCTCCCGGTCACCACGAGCGGCCCCTGCCTCGGCGAGGAGGTCCTGTCCGACAGTCTCAGCAGCGCCGGGCCGGACATCGTGTGAGAGACCTGGGCGGCGACATCCGAAGCCTGCCCCCGCCAGCCATCGATTCTCCTGAACCCACGGAGGGCGGGGGTAGGGCTCGGATTTCGCCACGTGTTCGACGAATTCCGAGCCAGATCCCCCCGCCGCCCATCGAGTTGCCTGAGTCGTCGATCGGCGAGGGCCGACGACGACGGGGCCGACGACGAGGACGACGAGGACGACGAGGACGACGACGACCAAGACATGCGGCGTCCTGATTTTTGAAATGCGCGGTCCCCGGGAGCCCCGACCCTTTCCGAGGCCGAAAACGATAGGAAAAACATATTTCGTCCTTTTGTTGCTGCTGCTGCTATTGTTGTGGTGGTGGTGGTGGTGGTGGTGGTGGTGGTGGTGGTGGTGGTGGTGGTTGTGGTTGTGGTTGTGGTTGAACATTATTAATTCTAAAGAATAATTATTGTTGGGCCCCCTGGTGCGCGCCCCCTCCGCCGCGCCTAGGCCGCAGCCACGTTTTCATCATTTTCGTGAGGAAGCCTCAGGTAAAACGATGTCATCCAGATCCGGTTGTTTTGTTGTAATCCGCTTTCCCTTGCAAAAAACACTATAAAATGAAATTTCTTGTTCAAATATAATCAAA